CTGGACCAGGAGACTCTTTGGACAGTCAGATGCTGCTGCTGTTGCTCCTGCTGCTTTGGTCATCTTGTGTGTGGACTGTTGTAATGTGATTTATATAAGGCTGCCCTTGAAGACCACTCAGAAGCTGCAGGTGGTTCAGGACACAGCAGCCCAGGCTCAGTATGCCCATCTAACATCTAGGCTTCTGGGTGCAATTCAAGGTGCTGGTTATCATAAGGCCTGGCTATCTGAGGAACTGTCTATCTCCCATAGTGTCTGCCCATCCTGTCCAATTTGACAGTTTGCATGCTCCAGGTCCTGTCAATAACACAAAATCATCTAATGGGAAGTGTGCCTTCTCTATCACTACTCCTGCCCTCTGAAACAGCATACACCCTGACATTTGTCTAGCCCCCCCCCCCCCCCTCTGAAAAAGCATCCCCCCTGGCATTTGGTCCCCCCCCCCCCCCCGATTTTAAAAAAAGGTCTCAAAACCTGGTTTTTCTATCAGACTTTGGGCTAACTGGGATAGTGGATGCCTCAAGAGTAGGAGTATGACAAACCTTCTGTATTGCTCCATCTTTTGATAACTGTTTTCATTTGTTGTATGCCACTCAGAGTCACTTTGAATTAGGCAGTCTTACAAAGTTAATAAATAAATGAAATCTAACCATAAGGAATAACAAGTGGAAATGCCCATAAAACATGTACAAAGTTCCTTCAAATTTCATTTCCAGCATAAAAAGGATGAGATCCCAACCCTTTTTACTTTCGTTAAGGGGTCCAACAGACCCTGAAGATAATTTTTTGCTAAACTAAATGAGTGTTAGGTCATAGAAAACTTATCTAATATTCTAAAGCCATTGATTTGATAATATAGGATACTCCTATTCTGCATTCCAAATTGTTTATGTCCACATTTATTTTTATTAAACATTTTGGTAATTAAAATTTGTTAGTTTATTTTCTTTCAGCTAAAGCTTTCTCTTCCACACCCAATAACTCTGGAATTTTAGAGGCCACTAAATCATATGGACCAAACAATGTACATAACAAGTGTTTTAACGGTACATATTGCCATTCAGCCTGTTTAGGTAAATTTTGTTTTGTAAAATCTCAAAAGTTGTAAAGGTATCATTACTTAATATTGAACCCATGTTCCCACTCCCAAATATTTACCAGCCATTTTTAAATAAAAATTAGTGCAAAGTATAAATTTCTCAAGAGAGGAAAACAATCTAATTTAAATCTTCTGCCCAATAAGCCTCAAATATCTGACTGCTTCCAGTACTGTAAAAGTAACTGAATCCCTACTGTAATTAGAACCAAGAGCTTGCCAAGATGACAAACAATAACTCTCAAGCTGAGCTCACAGTGGTACATTTCCATTACAATATATGTTCCGGGTTAACAAACAAGCCTAATGATATTATTTAAAATCAGGAAAATTAAAACTACTATCATAAGACAGAATTTTAACAAGAAGATCCTGAGTATTTTGTCCTTCCATAAAATTTTAATCATTAACTTCTCAACCTGTTTGAAATATTTAAGTGAAACCAACACAGGCAGTGTTCTCAAAATATATTTCACTCTGGATGCAAAATTTCCTTTTCACAGCATTAATTCTTCACACTCTTGAGGGTATTTTCATCCACCCCTTAATATCCTCTTTCATCTGGGTAGTACATTTTGAAGTGTTCTTATCCACTAAACTGGATATCTTCCTCGCTATAGTAATCTCTAGGTATTCAATAACTTCTGGATAGTATAAACATTTTAAATTTGGAACCTTCTTCACAATTTATATAATATTTGGTTTATTCCAATTTATTGTACATCCAGAATATTTACAATATAGCCACATGATTGTATCACCTACAGATTTAAATATTGTTGATAACCATAAAAACAACCTGAAATATCCTCTGTATGTAACTTCTTATATTCAAATTCAACTAAGCAAATTATTTTAATTTCATGAGTTTGCCTTCTTAGGTATCCCTGGGGTCTCAACATTAAATTAAAAATTCAGGGAGGTAGGAACATTCTTGAAGTGTTCCACACTGCATTTTAAATATTAGTGAATTAGTAATTACCTGAGCAGAAGGATTAAGATAATAAATTATAATCCAAGAAATAGTCTATAGAAAATCTAAACTTCTGCAACACTTGAACCAAAAACTTGATTTAAACTGTATCAAAAGCTTTCTCTGCATCCTTTACATCATAGATTCAGCATACAAGTCTATTGTATGAACCAAAGTCTTAGCATTCTTATCTGAAGCTTGGGATTATTTTATGAACCCAGATTGTGCAGGATGAATTATTCCAGGCAATATCTTCTGTAATTTTCTTCCAATGTAGGTGTTAATATTTTAGCAGCAACATTCAACATGGATATCAGGGAATAACTTGTATCCTAAGATCTTCCACAAAGCCTTTAAACATATAATGCTATTTTCTTTCTCAATCTTGGTCCCTGACTTCTGCTGAATTTTCAAAAGACAAACATTTTTCTAGCTAGTAGAAAGGAAGGAGTAAATTTGTTAAATTACTCCAAGTCATGCCTGAGCTGGCTTGAATGTGGATTGAAACTAAAATATGGGTGGCTGTCAATGAATGTGGAACAGAGGCTTACCATTGGGGTGAGAAATCTTACAGGAGCAAAGGGAAATACTCACAGGGATCATGGTGCCTACCTAAAGTATAATCATAGTAATTCAGTTTAATGAACTCAGTTTTATTCTTTTTTTAGGATTAGGTTTGATACCAGCCTCTTGTGTACCTGGAATCCAAAAGTTTCAGGTGTGACAATCTCTCAGTATATTGTGTCCAAGTATTGAAATGTCACTGGAGTGAATGAAATCTAAAAAACACTGCAAGAAAATGAAGCATATATAAGTTGTTGTAAAGTTAGCTTTCTTTCAGTCTTCTATAAAAAGGATCTGTCAATACGTCAGCTAGATTACCTAGAAGAAAATCATGACATAAGGGAAAGATACTGAGGGGGCAGGAAGGAAAAGGTATGGTGACAAGGGAAAGTATGAGTTCAATTGCAATTGCTTTGACTTAGTTTCAGTAGGGAATGGCCTTTTTTAAAGAGCAGGTGTGATGCAGGAGTGTAAGTTATTTAGTATCTCTCTTCATTGGTTTCAATTTTTCTACTAAACAGTTTAAGATTGTGCCAAAGTTGTCTGCATACTCACCTCCAGATGCACTTTATATACATTTTCAAGCATGAAAATTGTTAATATTCTCTTCTCATTTGAACAAGTAAGTAGTGATGTTATTCTACAGTCTTGCATGCTGTGATGACTTACAAGGGAAACTCTGTGCACCTTTACTTTTCTCTGCCGTGTCAGCCCCAAGCAAGAGCTACATCGAAGGTCTGAAATTCACAACAGAGAGGGGAAGGCAATTGGCTTTGATCTGGGTAACCGACAATGGCCTTAATTTAGCGGCATGATGGGATCTGGGCTACAAAACCAGATCAATATAAGACAGCAAAAGGTTAATGGGTGTTGTAGCTTTGTGCTGCCATCTATTGGTCACCTGGTTAAAAAAAATACATTCACATGTGGAGTCCTTGGGGTTCTCTGAGCTTGGTTCTTTTCTTGCAAACGTTTCATTACCCGGCTAGGTAACATCTTCAGTGCTAGAATGGGATGGGATTTGCACTCTGTTTATATACTGTGGCATCCCCTGCCAGTGTTGGTGGGGGTTTTGTTTTGTTCCTCTGGTAGTTCCTTGATTAGGGTATTGTTTACTGGTTGATTGTGTGCCTGGTGGTAACCTCTGT